ATGCAGTCTGGGGTTAGACAAATCAGGGAGTAATGAAATGTTTTCTTCTATTCAGAACAAACAGTCCCAATTAGAAGCCATCTCATGGAATTAGGTCTAACAGCAGCAAAGTTTGCTAGAAAACGGGGAAATGTGTCACTCGCAACAAGACTACTGGCACAGTGCAGTGAAGTTCAGCTGGGAAAGACCACCACTGCACAGGATTTAGTCCAGCATTTTAAAAAACTATCAACTCAGGGTCAAGTGGATGAAAAATGGGGGCCTGAACTTGATATTGAAAAAACCAAATTGCTATATACAGCAGGTTAGTAAAATGAATTATGGTTAATACATGAATATAATAAAAATCATGTTTATGAATGTTACTGTGTATGGTATAAGGCAGTAATATTAGTAGAAAAGTTGAATATTTCCAGTGGTTACAAAACATTTGTGTCCTAAAAAGTAAGTTGTTTACGATAGACTTACCTCTATAATTCAGTGCTTTTAAAAGAAATAATTTTGTTACAATATATTAAAGCAAGAAACATTTCCAGAGGTCATTGATTATTACTGAATTTGCATGTTTTAAAAAATTCATTATTTTACACTGAAATAATACCAATCATTTGCTTTTATGGGTTCTAAATGCTGATTTTTTTGGTTTTCTGTAGGCCAGTCAACACACGCAATGGAAATGTTGAGTTCTTGTGCCATATCTTTCTGCAAGTCTGCAAAAGCTGAATATGCAGTTGCTAAGTCCATTCTGACACTGGCTAAATGGATCCAGGCAGAATGGAAAGAGATTTCAGGACAGCTGAAACAGGTTTACAGAGCTCAGCAACAGCAGAGTGTCTCAGGTCTTTCTACTTTGTCTAAAAACATACTCACTTTAATAGAACTGCCGTCTGGTAATACGGTAGAAGAAGAGTACCCTCGGATTGAGAGTGAGTCCACAGGTAAGGTTTCTTTATTAGCTTTAAAATAATAATTTTAGGAACTATATTTCCCCCTATTTTAAAGTTTACAATGTTAGGCTGGCTATAATTTGCCACAAAAAGTGTGTCTATGGAAATTTAGGGTATTACATTACCTGAGAGTAAATAAAACATATTTAGGATCTAATGCCCTTAGTTAAGTCACTGAACTCTGCCCCCAGGCGATACTTCCAGCCTTTCAGATTCAAGTTGTTTTTATGCACTTAGAT